TTAAATTAATTGGAACAAATTCCAAATTTTTTTTAGTCATATCTCCTTGCTGTTCAATAGAAACAGCAGAATGGTTAGCCAATAATTTGGCTTGGTTAAAAAAAATACAATATGATAGCACATGAGCTATCTGTCTTATAAAATAATTGGATAGGTTGTACCTATCATATGTCAAACTATTTGATTTATTATTTATTATATTATTTATGTCAATTAAGTGAATTTTCATTTTGTCGGTATTGTACAAAGGTACATAATTATTATTTGTAAGGATATACAAGCTGTTATTTAGACTATGTCTACAATCATTTTCCTGTGGCAACCCCTTAATGTAGGGAAGTGTGAACATTATTATTTTTTTTACATTTAAGTTTGTTAATTGATCATGATAGTTCCGCAAGAGTTGTTTATTAACACTTCCCCTTCTCCCAATTAATACAATCAGAATGGTGTTGGGACAATGAGTACTTGTCAAGATAGTCCTCATTATTTGAGAATAGGTAGCTCCAGGCATACAAAAATTAGTCACTAATTGTCCCTTACATACATTGTGAAGCAACAACCCCATACTCCTACCTAATTCATCACTATAAATCTTTACATTATGACTGGGGGTATGTTGTACTGCCTCTCCATGCATGGTGCTGTTGAGAGACTCAGCAGACTGGGTAGGGGACACTTTGTCAATGTTCAGCTGTGAAAGACCATGAGAGCTTTGACACTCACAAACACAGTTTTTTGTAAGTGATTAGGCGGTGTATCGGAATTATTCAACGGAAGATGTCAGCAGGAGACAGCTGACAATTGTTATGAATAGTTAACATAACATGAATTGAAAAATTATAAAAGCCATCTACAGAGGCATGAAGCAAACCACGAACCGGTTCGTGATAAAATAAATAACCATCGAAGGCTCGAATCATTATACTATACTAGCTACTGCCCGCGACTACGTCTGCGTAGAATAGGCTGAAGGTGTAACATTCAGATAGAAAGACAGATATACAAAAAAAATATATATATATAAATTGTAGCCTATGTCTTATTCTGATGTATAAGCTATATTATTGTGAAGTTTCATTAAAATCTATTCAGTACTATTTGCGTGAAAGAGTTTCAAACATCCATCCATACATACAAACTTTCGCGTTTATAATATTAGTAAGGATGTCGGGAAGTAAGGAAGGGCGGCCAACAATGCCATTACACTTTTGAAAAAAAAATTATACATTAGTTTATATATTAGTGCTTATGTTTTAAACTAATATATTATTTATATATTAGTTTAAAAGATAAGCACAACTTTTGCGTGCTCTGATATCGAGGACATGTAGAGGGTGGTGTTAATCTTGTCAAGTGTATATATACTTTAACTTTACTCACTGATGTTTTTGCTTTCAGTTCGTATACTATCATCCTCATCGAACGTACAACTCGTTAAGGTAAGCGATAAGCGGTACGAAATCAAGCCTGGTTAGCCAGGCTTGATTTCGTACCGCTTATCGCTTACCGCTTACTTCGTTACTAATATTAGGTATAAACGCGAAAGTTTGTATGGATGGATGGATGTTTGTTACTCTTTCACGCAAATACTAGTAAATGGATTTTAATAAAACTATACAATAATATAGCTACATATTTTTATGTATATCTGTCTTAGTCTGAATTTTATGTCTTCAGCCTATTCTACGCAAATGTAGGCGCGGGCAGCTAGTAAAAAATACAGCGTGAGGTGAGCGCGGTAGAAGTCATTTCTTCAGTTTCTTTTGACGATCCGATTTGTTAACAAGACTTATATGCAAACGCGTTTCTTTGTAAACATGGCGAGACTATGTTAAACGGCATTCCTGCGTCGTGCTCGCGCAGTAGACCATTTACGTAGCATGGAAACTCGCACAATCGTCTCGTTAATGTTAGGTTTCAGGTTAACGTGTGGTAATGCAAATTTCCACGAGCACACCAATTCTTCCTTTGTCCGGCTTTATCGGACCCACGGTTTACGACGCAGAGACTCCAATTAGCAATTTAAATTTAATTCCATTTAAGCGCTAAGCAACGTCTTTGAGGAGCGAAACTTAAAGGTTACAACGTCAAACAAAAGTCGAAAGGAAGCGGGGATATTGGTTGACAAGGTAAGCGATCCTTTTGTTGACAGGGTTAAAATTAAAGGAGGTTTGTTCTTTATGTCTGTATACGAACCACTACAGAGGACAACTTGAACGATGCTGATATATCCCGGGGTCAGCGTCAATTAATCTCTCGCAGTCTAGATAACCTCTACATATCTGTATGGGATAATGTTTTATCTTCAATTATAACGACTAGGTACAGATTCATCGGTCAAAGACTATTTTAATGTCGGTATTACAATATGACTCAAGGTTTTGTCTAAAAGTGTCTCTGATATCCGAATTAGTCAATTACAAATTGAATTAAGATTTGTACATAGTCTCTAAGCTTTTGTGATGTGTTCATAGATAGTTTTGTGTTTTGTCTGCTTATGTATTTATTTAATTATATATAGGAGTATAGGATATAGTTATCTTCTGATCTATGTTGGCTACCATTGTTCTACTGTGAATGTTTTCTTTGCGAGAAATATCGAGCATAGGCAGTTCCATAGCTCGCTGAGCGACTTAGAGCTTCCTCATACGGCCAGCGGTGAAGTACCAAGTCTCGGTTCCGTAGCTCATCACTGGCAACATAAATTGATTTTGTCTTCCAAAATTTAAGGGATATTAGACGAGGAGATATGCTAAAGTTTCCCGAAACCTGCCAATACGAGTTGGATTCGCCGATTGGACTCTGCGTCGAAGTCGGGCTTAACTTACCGGACCAACTGTCCTAGGTAAACCTACGACATAGCTCAGGAGGTTAGCAAACAGTAGCGGCAGTGGGCCGGCCATATAGCTCGTGGAACAGATAACCGATGGGAAAGAAAGGTTCTTTAGTGGTAGGCACGTACTGGCCATCGCAGTGTACGACGTCCCCCCATTAGATGGAGTGACAACCTGTGCAAATGTGCGTGAAGTCTATGAGGGGATGTTCAGCATGCCTATGTTCGGCAGTGGACTCAAACAGGCTGAAATGATGATGATGATGATGAGAGACCCAAAATCGAGTTGGTGGACGTTTAATTATTTCCATAAAATAATACTAATTGATAACAGCGCCCTTACATACCTATGGGAATATTTTTCAGACCATATTGAATATGATCCCAAAGGCACGCAAGCTTGCCAAGTAATATTGATGTTATTAAAACACTTTAATATCGCTAATTAGCGGCTAACCGCAGTGCGGAATGCGCGGTTTCATAATTTATATAGAGCGTAATAAAAAGCAGCACACCGGTCGTAATACCGAAACGACGAATGTCCCGAGTTCAATAGCGAGCATTATGCTGTACTATGTTCAAAACTATCTATTATTACCATCCGTCTCACACTAAAACACATCGGCACATGTAAGGGAATCGATAGAGCCGATATCGCAAGACGTTGACGCGTTTCGTTTGTGTTTTCATCACTCTCCCTTCCAATGTAACACCGTCTTTAAGGCTAGCACTTACCACCTCCGGCATATCGCAGCCGAAACGCACTAGTTAAAGTTCCGGCTCTAACCCGCCATAATTTGGGAACAACGCCAGCGACTGAACAAAGGGCCCAATGTGATGACTTCGTAAAGGTTCGAAAGCAATTAGCGAGCCGCATAAACTACGATTCACACGTGACGGGGAATGTAGGCGCGTTATGAACGGATGTGCGAGAGGACACGTCGACGTCTTCTATGCTTCTTCTATTATAAAAAAAACCTACGTGAGCAAGCTCACAAATGTTTTTTTTATAATATAAGATTTCAACCGAGCAGGCTAATCATCTGATATTAATTACCGTGCATTTGCAACTGAGGGCTTGCTGATGCGTAGAAAACCTTTAGAAATATGGGCCCGGTTACATCTCTCACCAAACGAAAAGGGAAAATATTATACACTTCCACATCACGCAGGTCTGCTGTGAGGCCGTGGTACGAGCCTGTCCATTCTTGCAATATCAATGCAATAGCAAATTTGAGCAATGAATAGCGTTTGATGACACCGTGGCGCAGTTGCAAGGTATTGGCTTCGGCGTCGGGGGTTGTGGGTTCGATTCCTACACGGGACAACTATTTGTGTGACCCACAGATAGTTGTTTCGCATTTGGACGTTTGTCTACGTGCAATTTATATTTGTAAAACGTTTTTTTTTTAAAAACAAAACAAAAACAACAGCAAATGCGTGGCACTAACACAGCTTAGACCCAATCTCGCCACACTTTCTGAAATAGCACGTAAGTCTCTTCCATTTCCACCCGGTTGGCATATAGCAATTTATGGCGACCGCGTTTCTCAAGATAAGAACTAAATCAAACGCCGCGGGAAAACCTGCTACCTATATGTATCGCAACCAAACGAGTACGTCCCACTCGTTTATATTCCATGCAAATATGTCTTGTATGTCTTGTATTAACTGATGTTTTTGCTTTCAGTCCCGAGACTATTAAAGCTTCATCTGACGCAGACGCAAATATGTACCGGGCGCGTACTGTATAGACTTGCTTTAACAAATATTTTTGTTTTCAGTCCTTAGAATACTAAAGCTTCATCGAATGCAGTACTCGTGGGTCAGCCACAACTAACGTGCATGATACGAACAAGTGTAGGGTCGGTTTGGTTCGTGCATACACCCTTGCGTCTCTTTATATCTTGAACGGGAATAATGTCATCTACGGGCAATCGAGGTTCGGTACGGACCGTGACCCCGACGGCCGTTGTATATTAATCGGTGGCGGTGAGAACCGCACTGGAACGCGTTACGAAGAAAACTGAAATGCCTATAGGTAGAGTTATCTACAGACATTTCAATTTCCTTCTACGACTTTCCCGCTCGCTGTGAATCATGCATCGCAGCGGCGGGCGCGCCGAGGGCGCGGTGTGATTCGCTCGCAAACGAGGCCGCGTCAGCCCGTCACCAGCACCAAAGCGGTCTCCTTAACATAAATTACAATGACAATGAACGTCAGGCCGGAACGGGCTTTGCGCGGCGTAAACAAATCCCTCGGGCTCGGCTTTCGTACGCCATGTCTTTGTTTTACTGCATAATAAGACTGGAAAATCACCGTAGTTTATTTTATCACATTGCCGGCCTCTCTTCGTTTGCCTGCCAATCAATCTAATGACAAGTCGTATCTTCTATACTAATAAATGGGGTGTCCTTTTTTTTGTTTGCCTATAATCCGAAATGTAATGAAGCGATCGAAATAAAACTATATACCATAAGATGCAGCGTGTTTCGGAGAAAGTTTTAGTATATGATATGTTGGTGATTACATATCCGGAACCTATATTTTTTTTATTTAAAGAATATGTTATGACCCAGCGAAGCGGCGAGGACAGCTTGAATTTTATATGATATAATTCATAAAATATTTTTTAACAACGGAACGTCACTCTAAACGAAATATTTCTAACAACGGAACGTCACACTAAACATTTTTTTTTTCCACGGACTGTCACACTAACTAAACTGTGAACCCCAGGGGTTTCGTGCCAATTCCTGAACACAATCCTAGCCATACCAGCCGGTAACCAGCGTCCGTTCGCGCCGCAGTAAAACCGCTCGTAACTCCCCTGGACTGGATGGCCCGTTCATGGCCGTCCAAAGCCGCCATTATGCCCCAAACGGCCGTTACCACTCATTACACCCACCCGTCTATGGGCCATTCATGGTCGGCGTAAACGAATCGGACAATCGAGCACCTAAACAACTCTCGAGTTTCATACGTAATAACATATATAATTTCTGTTCTACTGTTCTAAAAAGTTTGTAATGCCATAGTATTGTAATATTGCATAAGCGATTAAAATTAAATACGAAATAAATGACGCGCACTCGAAATTAATGAGATGTATCGGGCAAATAAAGCAAGTGCAATAAAGAAAATCCACACTCATCCACACAGTTTTACTTCGACGCTTATTTGTAACTAAAAAAATTCATGACCACAATAATGCCATATATTGCACCACATTTAGCTAATATTTTTAACAACTGCATAGATTCTGGAATATTTCCAGATCTTATTAAATTTAGTAAGATAATCCCCGTCTTCAAAAGTGGGGATAAAAATGATCCAGGAAACTACAGACCTATCTCCATATTGCCATCTCGGAGTAAAATTTTTGAAAAACTAATTTTAAATCAGCTCTTAGTACATTTTAATATGAACAAAATTTTTCACAATGAGCAATATGGATTCACTAAAGGCAGATCGACAACAGATGCGGGTATCGCACTTGTCAAACATATTTATAACGCCTGGGAAGGGTCGCAAGATGCAATAGGTGTTTTTTGCGACCTTTCAAAAGCTTTCGACTGCGTGGATCACAAAACCCTCCTTCTAAAGCTTGATTATTATGGCATTCGTTACATCGCCCTCAATCTCATTGCCTCTTACCTTAGTAATAGAATTCAAAAAGTATCTATAAATGATGTAAATTCCGCAGGGTCCCCCATGAAAATGGGTGTCCCACAAGGATCAATCTTGGGCCTATTATTATTCTTAGTATATATAAATGATCTCCCCTTTTATGCCAGTGAGTTATGTGATGTTGTACTGTTTGCTGACGACACATCGCTTATTTTTAAGGTTGACCGAAATGTATCGAATTATGACGACGTGAATAGTGCACTTTCGCGTATCCTCCACTGGTTTACCATTAATAATATGGTGTTAAATGCTAAAAAAAAACTAAATGCCTTCTTTTTTGCCCTTCCCAACGTAAGAAGGCAAAGTTTTAGCTTAAAATTGAATAGCGTAACCCTTAATCCTGTTGAGTCCGCTGTATTCTTGGGAATCACAGTAGATTCAAAGCTCCAATGGAGTCCCCATCTATCATCTCTTGCTCCGCTGTTTTTGCAATTAGGAAGGTTAGGCAGCTATCAGACATCGACACTGCCAGACTTGTTTACTACAGTTATTTTCACAGCATCTTGTAGTACGGCATTTTGTTGTGGGGTAGTGCATCTGATATAAATTCAATATTTGTTATTCAAAAAAGAGCTGTCCGAGCAATTTATAACATCGGAGCTCGGAATACACTCAGAGATCTTTTTAAAGAGATTAATATACTCACTGTTGCGTCGTCTCAATATATTTATTGTAATATTTTGTATGTTAAACTGAATATTAATAATTATCAAAAGAATAGTGACAGACATAAACTAAATACTAGAAATAAGGACAAACTAACTACGCCATTATTTCGCCTACAAAAAGTAAACAGGTCGTTCATGGGGCAAAGTGTGCGCATGTATAATAAAATCCCACAGTCGATATTAAGTCTGCCACTTGATGAATTTAAACGAAAAATTAAAAGTAAACTTATGGCTAAAGCCTATTATACTATTGCCGAATATCTTGACGACGCCAATGTGTGGGGTTAATACTGTTGATACTCACGTAGGCTAAAACAAGACTATTGTACCTGTACTATTATATTGTAAACTGATTTTTTTTAAAAAAGAGCAACTGTTGAGTTTCTTGCCGGTTTCTTCTCAACAGAAACTGCTTTCCGAACCGGTGGTAACTTACGAACGTGTTAATCTCTTGTTAATTTTGACGTTTCATAAGAACGCGCAAGCGTATATGTGAAAAAAGATATTTTATTATTATTATTATTATAAAGTTTATAAAAAATCTCTCAAAAATTGTGAATATAGCTATACCATTTTAAAATTAAAATAAACACTATTTTCGGATTTCATTTTTAAACGACTACGAAATAGGCAAACGTTCTATATGCGAAGCATGCGGTCTTTTTTTTAACGCTGCCACCAACCAAAGGTTCTATATTCGCAGCGTGCGTTCTTTTTTTAAAAACAAACGCCGCGACCACAATGGCGCGCGGCCGCGAAAGCTGCCCGATTGTAAACAAACGTCGATATGGCGCGGCGCGGTCTATACGCGCATGACATTGACATTGGTCGGACGGGGCGCACATTAATGAGTCATTATACAACGGGCCGGCGCCGAAGCGTGGGCGAGGCGATTTTATGCGAACGCAAATAGCTCCTTTTGTGAATGGTTGAATACGTTGTCAGTGTTGAATGTGCCGAATCGGCTAGTCGGAAACTTGGAAAACCAAGGCATTTGGAACTGAGACCAATGAAGCATAAAAAGCAGGCGTATGAGCATTTAGATTAGATAGATTTTAAACGTTTTTTATATTTAAATACTGCATCGAAGAAGTCTGAAAGATGTCATTGTTCACATAAAATTCCTCGTTAATTTGAGCCAATTGTTAGCCTTTCAAGCTCAGATTTAAAATCAGTGCAAGTGTAATGAGCATATTGTAACAAACAAGTTCGCAACTTGCATTAAGGCCCATTTACACGATGCCATTTTCTTGTACATGCAAGAGCAATAATTGAATGCAATAAATTGCGCGCAATAATTGGTTAGACCATTTGTTGTTTAGACCATGCAACTTATTTATTGCTTCAATTTAATTGTATACAACAGGCAAGAAACTGGCACTGTGTAAATGGGCCTTTACGGTTAGGGTTGCTTCGTACGCATTTTTAACGGACTTCAAAAGAAGGAGGTTCTCAATTCGACTGGATTTTTTTAAGTTTGTTACCTAAGAACTTTCGTCTGAGTGAACCGATTTTGATGATTCTTTTCTTTTTTTTTTTTTGTTTAAACTGGTGCTTCCATGCGGTCCCATATTAATTTCATTGGTATTGGATCTTGGGCTCCGGAGATACTTAGAGAACTACTGAAAATTAATTATAAAATGTATACAGAGCGAGATATTTGAAGTCGGTTTTAGTTTTCGTTAGTAAAAAACGGTTATGTTATTACGAAAGAACCAATTTGTACTTTAGTTCAAGGTGAGAATAGAGAAAACATTATTGCATCTGTTTCAGTATTGAGATATCTTTATTGATTTTGGTCATCAAAACCACGTTGAAGTTGTAAGTGAACTTTAGGCACCAGAAATCTTCGCACAGTCATGCTACAATTTTATTCAAAGGAATGGGGCGTCAAACTAAAAGAAAAAGTGGATTTCACACAGCAACCTCTCATATATCTCATATAAATATGAGAGGATAGTAGACAGTTCTTTTTTTTTCATCTTTGCCGCCATGACACGTTTAAACTCAGTTGGATTATATCTACTGTTAGCTTATCATAATAAGTAAGCGCTCACTCTTCATCGCCTACTTCAGATCCACCCACAGGAATAGTGAAGGATGACATTGCATTACTCTCTAACGTTGACAAATTGATAAATAAAATAAGAGATTTACTTAACGGTCGTGGTGCATTAACTTTAATTCTATCATTGCCACTTGATTAATTGAAATAGTTTGAAAATAGAAGAATTATTGTTAGGTAAATCTATTGATAAGCTTTACTTCTGTCCTCAGAATGATCAATTATCCCTTCACTAGAAATAATTTAATCAGGGTTTCTGAACTTGACATAAGAAAGAATTTAAGGTTAGTTACTTACTTAAGCTAGTAACATTTAAACTTTTGCAGGATAAGTACATGAGACAATGAAAAGAGTAGAGCTTTCTCCTATATAAGGGCTTAGCCAACTATTGATCTGCCTATCACGAATTTGCCTATTATTACGTAGAAAACATCATATCAGATCCTCGAATATTAGATCTTCACCCAAAAACTAACCTAGATCCGGTCTAAGCGAAAACAAATAGATAAGACAGTAACATGATTTAAACCACCAGTATTAGCATTAACACTTTACAAACTTAATACGTGCTTTCTTAAAAAGCTCAAGGCAATGGACCTCTTATTTTTAGGTATTGGGAGATATCTTTACATAACCCTGTCATTTTACATGACAGGGTTATGTAAAATGACAGGGTTATGTGGGGTTCTTACCCACTAAAACCCCCTCGGTGGCCACCTTCTGTACGTTTGGAGGGACCTCGTGATCTCCTATGGAACGCACCGGTGGCCCTCGGTACTGGGCGTGAGCACGCCTCGGAGAAGAGTACACCTTCCCCAATTCCCTCGCCATCTTGCAGCTCGAAACCACTTCGCGCTGCTGCCAATCCGTGAAAGGCAATGACACCTATCACATTATTACAGCCCCGCGAAAAACTCCTCATCCGCAACAAGCTCCAAGCTCACGATTCGTCTCGCGGGGGCGGTGGCTGTGTGCCTTATACGGCCCCATCATTAATAACTCCAACAGCACACCAGATATGATCTGCATCCATAAATTGTCCATTGTGTTGCTTTCGCGCCGTATTCTTACTGTCGAGACAATGCTTGGCGTTATCGAGAACCGACAGTGCAGCATTCGACTTTACCGATGGGCTTGGATTAAGGCCGTGTATATTGAATCTTATCGTCGAGTCGAATACTGTTATACAATAATAAATATATTAACTTACTGTTATATACTGCCTAGTATAGACCCGCTACACACTGCAGCATCATGCAATTACTTCGGTGAATGATTGTACACATTTTCGTGATTGAATTTTAGTCTCGACCTATGGCCTGTTCCAAATACTTGACGAAATTAAATGTTACGATTGTTTCCAATTCAATATAATAATATTTTAGTAAAAGTATTTTTCTAAAATGAATATAACATTACGAAAAAGTTTTGGAGTACTTCGTGGACTA